GCCAAAGGTTAAGAAAACCCCCCCCCCCGGCTGCAGGCAGCACCTCCTCCTTTCCTGTGCTGCTCCGTAGGACGTAGGGGGGGACACAAGGTGTGCGGGATCCGGCCCCATTGCTTCTGCGTCCCTCTTGTCCCAGATCCCCAACTCCCGGGGGCTCACCTAGGCCCTCCCCCGACCCCGCTAGCACCTCCACTAACCCCTTCCCCCCAAACAGCAGGCAGACTGAGATCCAAGCCTCCAGGGACACCCCCCCCCCCCCTCCCCCCCCCCCCACCGTGGACTGGGTCTCTCCCTCCCACCCTGCTGCCTTCCTCCGAGGTCCGCAGGAGGGGCGGGGGGGGGTGTCTAGGAGCAGGAGGGAAGGGGCTGCCCCCCAGCAGCTCCAGCCCCAGGAGGAAGAGAGAGTGGGGCAGGCCGCAGGAGTGGCCGGGGAACTCCCAGCCCCGCTGAAGCAGCGCCCCCAACTGCCCCGGGGCACCAGGACCCAGCAAGACTTTGTGATGGAGTGTTTCAGAAAAGCAGGAGGCGGGGCTTCTTCCTGCTGGCGCTCCCTCCAGAGGGTGGATTTGTGCCTGTCCTGCAGAAAGGGTGGGGGGAGGGCCCCCCAAGAGCCGAGTCGACTGGGCCAGATCCAGCCAGGTGTTCTGCTCCCAAGGTTTTTTTGCACAAAACACCCCGAGGCTGGCAGGTGGGGTGGTGGTGGAAAAGTCGCCTGGATCCAACCCAGTTTCTAAAAGGAGCTCAAGTTTGCTTAGAATCATAGAGTTGGAAGGTACCTCCGGGGTCATCTAGTCCAAACCCCTGCACAATGCAGGAAATTCACAAATGCCTCCCCTGCCACGCACCCCCACAGTGACCTCTGTTCCATGACCAGAAGATGACAAAAAATCTCCAGGATCCCTGGCCAAACTGGCCTGGAGAAAAATTGCTTTCTGATTCCAAAGTGGCGATCACGAACAGCAACCAAAGAAGAACACACAGTGTAGGTATACAAGGGAATAGAAATCTGTGTGAAAAAGACGCTAACACTGGTTCAATAAAGTTTCCTCATTCTTCATATGTCTTCATCTCAAGAGGAAACTTTTCTACATTTAGATTGGACTTGATTGTGCTTATTTGATTGTAATTGTATTAATGCTTTGGTCTTTATTGAACCAGTGTTAGCGTCTTTTTCACACAGATTTCTATTCCCTTGTATACCCAAAGTGGCGATCAGCATTTCCTTGGGCGTGTAAGAAAGGGCCACAAGAACTAAGCCCTGAGGCAACCCTCCCTGCCCTCCCTTCTCAGGATCTGCCTGAGTTCATAGAATCAGCATGACAGATGGTCACCCAGCCTCTGCTTGAAAACCTCCCAAGAAGGAGAGGCCACCACCTCCCGAGGAAGCCTGTTCCACTGAGGAACCGTGCTTACTGTCAGGAAGTTCTTCCTAATCTTTAGCCGAAAACTCTTCTGATTTAATTTCAACCTGTTGGTTCTGGTCCGACCTTCTGGGGCAACAGAAAACAACTCCGCACCATCCTCTAGATGACAGCCCTTCAAGTACTTGGAAGATGGTTTTCATATCACCTCTCAGTCGTCTCCTCTCCAGGCTAAACATACCCAGCTCCTTCAACCTTTCCTCACAGGACTTGGTCTCCAGACCCCTCACCATCTTCCTTGCCCTCCTCTGGGCACGTTCCAGCTTGTCTATATCCTTCTTAAATTGTGGTGCCCAAAACTGAACACAATACTCTAGGTGAGGTCTAACCAGTGAAGAGTAAAGTGGTACCATCACATTGCGTGAACTGGACACTGTACTTCTGTTGATACAGCCCCAAATCACATTTGCTTTTTTAGCTACCGCATCATACTGCTGACTCATGTTCAGTGTATGGTCTACTAAGACCCCTAGATCCTCTTCACAATACTACTGCCAAAACAAATCTCCCCCATCCTATAATTATGCATTTGATTGTTCCTACCCTAATGCAGAACTTTACATTTATCCCCACTGAAATTCATTCTATTTGTTTTAGCCCAGTTTTCCAGCCTGTCAGGATCATCCTGTATCCTGACTCTGTCTCCTACTGTATTTTCTACCTCTCCAAATTAAGTATCACCTGCAGATTTAATAAGCTTGGGATCCAAGTGGTCACAACACAGTGAAGGCAAGGCACTTTGCACGTGCTTAGAATCCCCACATCCAGCAGCATTATCCCTCCTTAAGCTCTGCAGTTTGCTGTTACCAGAGTGGTTGATGGGGAGGCATGATGTCACCCCAGGCTCTGTGACTCTGGACATAGGCAGAGTGCCTTTCTTTTAACATGAGAGGTGGTGAGTGGGGCTCTAGCTTGCCTGTGGCCCAGCACCTTGACTTAGAAGCTCCAAACCCATCATTCGAAGGGAAGCTATGACTGAGGAAAGGAATAGTGCCCTTTCGACAGGCTCACTTCCATTTTTTCATGTCTCTCCCCCCCCCCCCCCTTCATAATACCTTTCCCTTCCGGGGCTCAGGCTGGCCACTGAAAAGGGCTTCGGGGACAGAGCCCCTCCACCAAAGGCGGGCACCGCAGGCCATTCCGTATGGCACAGCTTCCCCGAGCAGCCGGCCCAGCTCTCCACCACGGGCCCTGCCGGGGGAACGGGTGCTTTGGGCAAGCTGCCAGCTGAGAAGCACGGAGGGAGACGGCCTGCCTGAGGCACTGTCCTTTATTTCCTCTCCCTCCCTGCAGCCATCACTTGCGCCGGCGCCCTCCCGGGCGGATCTGCCTCTTCTCCTTGCGCCGGCTGCGTGTCGGCTCCGGGTTCCCATTGGCCGGCAATGGCGGGGAAGGCGGGGCAGGGATCTGGCGCTGGTTGCCGGGGGCCGCCTTGTAGATCAGATGGAAGATGAAGGCGTTGGCGTACCTGGCGGGGAGAGGCCGGAGGGTCAGAGGGAGGTCTAGATGGGTGAATCGGAGGGAGGGAGGGAGGCGTCCGCTACGGCGTGTGGGCCAGAGGTCCCCCATGTCAGCCCACCCACGGCAGGGAGGTGTGGCCCCAGACGCCTGCAGAGGACGGGGGTCACCTCTGGGGAGAGGGAGGTCAGCTTGGTCCACCGGAGCCCCGCGGGGAACCCACCAGGGCATTGCGTTGTCGATGCCAGCCTGGCGGAAGGGTGAGCGGAAGGGGTTCATGTGGGCGGGGCTGGCACTGCCCCCCGTCGCCATGGAGACGGCCGCCTCATCCACAGCACAGCTGTATTCGCTGCATTCGGTGAAGTAGGCCGGGACCCGGAGGGACTGCGGGCGCAGACGGGAAAGAGAGGGGGAGGGTTGAGAGGTGCACCGCCTGCCGACCGATCCCAAAGGGGGCCCCCAGCCAGAGGGCCTCCTCCTGGGGCCCCAGACATCACGGCGCCCCTGGGCCCCTGGGTGCGAAGGAGGGCCAGCCCTGGACACGTCCAACAGAGGACACCCACGCGCCGCCAGCGTTCCCATCCAAAATCTCAGGTTTGCAGTTACAAGATAAAAAAGAAGACATTTTTGAAAAAACATGGTCAAGACTTTATCAATGGATTGAGGTGTATCTGCAGAGATGCACACTGTAACTATATACTACAATTATCAAAATACTTTCTGGTATATATATGTGTAGGTACACATAAGAATGATATTATGTATGTAAATCAAAATTGGTTACAATGAGTACATGCTTCCTGTTTGCTCTGTGTTAGTGTGTCTTCTTGTGTATTGTTATGTCTGTCCTTTTCTTTCTTTGCAGAAAATCAATAAAAACCTATAAAAAGACCCCAAAACCTCAGATTTTCAAAGGACCACTTTAAACCTCAGTGTGGATAGAGAGGCCTGCTTACAAATACCTCTGGAATCATTCTGACAAACAGTCTTAAGTGAGTGTACTGAAAACTGACCCGGCAGATTCAATGTGGCGCCTCTCAGTGGTGATAAAATTGCTCAGTTCAACAGTTCCACGTGGGGAAATGTTGCAGTTTAGCAGATATCTCTGGACAAAAATTAAAGGTAAAATTTCTTTCTTTCTTTCTTTCTTTCTGTTATTTAAAGTTCACCTTTCTCACTTGGACTCCAGATGGGTTACACAGTGTGAGAGTGGACATTCAGTGGGCAATGTCATAGGATTAAGGTTGTAGAATCAACCAGAAATCTAAAACTAGAACTGAAGCAGAGCCTATATAGTCACATGGCACACATGACACAAAACTCCAGCATAGGGTCCTGGTGTCAGCAGGCCACACACAGTCGCCTAGACCACTGTCCGTCCCTAGTAACCCATCTGAGTAACTCTGGGAATCATTTCATGCCGTGCGGCTCTGTTGCCAGCGCAGAAAAGCCCCCTGGAATCATTCTGTTTGGCATCGTTTGCGGAAAGCCAGGAGGGGGGGAGGCCTGAGGTGGGGGCCCCAACGGAGAAGGGGGCACAGGTACAGGCAGTTACTGACTTTGCCCATTTGCAGGTTAATTAATTAATCAAGTGTTGCATGGCATATTGCGTGTAGAATAGCCAGGAGATCCTAAGACTGTCTACGTTTCCTTAAGGATTCTGGGTATGGGGGGGGGGTTTCCCTGAGGAAGGGGATTTGT